CTACATGAGCTGGGAGCTTGGAAATAAATAGGGACAGTCTGTCCCACTCAAGTAGTTATACCTGGTGAATAGGGCCCAGAGCCTGGCACTATGTAGCTGTGATTGTGTAGCACCTGGCAGTATGTAGTTTTCTTAGCAGTCAGAGGGAGAGCTGTGGGGGTCTGCATAGTGTTCAGGTGGATCCAGGATGTCCTTACTGGAGGGGAGAAGCTATCCTTGTGTGGGCAGTTTGCAATGTATGGCAAACATGTGGGGCTGTCTGATAGGGGTTTCACATCCCAGGGTCTCTCTCCAGACAGCAGCTCTGGGAAGGCCTCTAAATGATCCAGTGTAAAAGCAATGACTTTTCTGGGGAAGGACAAGGATTGATCTCTGGGACCTGCTCCGAGGCCCCTTCCTCCTCAATCAGGGGCTCTTGCTTACTCTTGCCAGCTGGTGGAGGTTGCTCAGGGTGGAAGGGACCTTATCATCTTCCGGAGGTAGTAGAAAGGAAGCAGCATCTGAAAATGTGGGCCAGAGGTTCCCAACCAGCCTAATATAGCTACAACAACATAGCATCCTGGGGGGGCTGGTTTGGCTGAGGTTGGGGATGGCATTCTTGTTCCTATAACAGTATGGTAAAGCAGTGCCACTCTGCCTTTTGGCCCTGCAGGTCAGATGAGAGGCAAAGGCTGGTCTGTAGCCTGGATCCCTTGTGGGGTTGATTGCACTCTGCCTTGGCTGGGTCCCATGCACCCTGTCTGGTGCACAGGGCCATGCTGTCTAGCCCACGGGGTTCCCCAGGGGTCCAGAAATTTGGCAGCAGGGGAGCTGCAATTAATGCTCCCCCAGCACCACATTTTCAGACCCATGGGCCCAATGACACAGCTCCATGGGCCTGATCCAGCCCATGGGCCCAGGATTAATCATTACTAGTGTAGAGGCTCTGGAGCAGGATCCTGTGTTCTGGATTTCAGGGGTCTCTCTTGGTCAAAGTGGCATAGGCTCCCTACTGCCGGGGGTAATAGGGCATGGCCTGATGGAAGTAATGACAAACAGACTTTGGCAAGAGGCAGGGCCAGCCTGTGGGGAGACCTCTGTGCCTAACTGGTCCTGCAGGTTTTTGTGAAATTGTGAAATTGTGTCACCTCATTAGGACCTACTTCACTCTGCAATATGTGTGCTCATAGTTTCTTGCTTCATGTATATTTTTGCTTGGTAGTAAATGCTTGGTCAACACAGGTTTGAATGTCACAAATGCAGGTCTGTGTTCTTTGTTTATGAGCCTAGGTAGCTCAGTTGGTAGAGTATCAGACTTTTAATCTGAGGGTCCAGGGTTCAAATCCCTGTTCAGGTGGTAGTTGTTGCTTTTCATTAGGTGGACTCAACAAGAGAGCAGAGATGTTCAGCAGTGTGCCTCTTGGGCTAACAAGGAACAATAGTCACAAACTGACAGAGAACAGACTTAGGCTAGGTATCAGGAAAAACTTCATGGTAAGGGTGGCCAAAATTTGGAATGGGCTTCCAAGGGAGGAGGCACTCTCCCCTACCTTGGGTGTCTTTAAGAGAAGGCTGGGTAGGCATCTGGCTGGGGCCATCTGACCCCAGCACTCTTTTCTGCCCAGGAGGGGGTTGGACTCAATGATCTTTTGAGGTCCCTTCCAACCCTAGCATCTATAAATCTATGTTCTGCTTTGCTAAACTTTCAGTTGTTAGTAAGTCCTAAATGTCCAAGCACTTTGTAGTCTGACCTGGGCTGTGATTAAACTTTTCCTTAGTGCATGAATTTCCCTGCATGCAAAAGAATGATGGTAGCTGAAACACATGCCTACTGGTCCTTTAAGGCTCTGATTGAGCAAAATGCTTCTGTCCAGACCAAACTTCAAGCATTTGCCTGATTTTCATTGAAGGCACGTGCTAAGAAGCGTTGTTGGAGCCAAGCTGAAGTAAACAGGGTGTTTTTGGACTGCATCCTGCTTATGGGAGAGAGGAAGGCCTCAGCCTTGCCATTTCCCTGCTATTCTCCTGCCTTGGCAGTGAAGCATCTATCCCTCTTTCTGGTCTCTGCTCAGTGCCTGAGCTGGCTTTCCGCTTCATCCTCGTCTTCCCTCCACTGCCCCCTGCCTTCTGTTGCCATTTCTCTCCTTCCTCTCTCTCCTCTCTTTCACCTGAGACATTCTTAATCTCAGCAGCCTTGCACTGACTAGATATGAGTGGAGCTAAATTAGTCTAAACAGTGTGGCTCTGTCATGTGGGACCAGTGGGACAGCAATATGTCCTACTTCCCTGTTACATTGGCCATGTCTTGACAAAGCCTAACATGAAAATAATGAATTGTGCTGCTGCTCCTGGCCCAGCAGATGGCACTCGGTTCCCACAAATAGTAGAATCTGAGGCTATTGCCTAGTTAAGGTTTGGAAGCCAGATTTGGGTGTATGTATATGCACTGCACGCACACACATTCAGGGGACTAACCTTTTCTCAGAGCCTTCACTTTCCTCCTGATGTTTCCATGGTTGGCTTCTATCCAGAGGAGCAAGAAGTTAATTACATGGAAGTATTTTTTATTTAAAAAAAAAAAAAAAATCTTTCTTGCAAAAGATCCCAGAATATATTTGTTTACATGATAGACAACCCCCACTCCTCAAATAGCTGTAAATATAAAGCAAGTGACTTGTATATGATATGAATTTGAAACATGCCGAGATATTGGTTCCTTATGAGAATCCATGTGTAAAGTTGGCTGGTAACCTGGGCCGAGTTGAAAGTTGTAGTGGGGTTGCAGGTCAAAAGTCTGGGCAGGTGGGAAAAAATTGCTCTTGCCTCAGGGTGCTTTGACTCAAGTTATACAAGTGCAAATGACCCCTCAAGATACAGAACAAGATGCAGTCCAGGCCTCTCTGGATATGATGGGCCTTTTGCAGACTAAAGGATATCCACTGAAGTTAGTAGACTTGCTGCTGAGAAAGAGCAGGGGGGAACCCTGTTCTGGGATCTCTCTGAGGGGCTGAGGTGTTGGAAAGAATGTGAATAGCATTGTGGGCATTTGCAGATTTCCCAGTATCCATAGCTGCCTGCTCTCTGATGGACCTTATGAGTCCAGAGAGCTTGGGAGCCAAGGCTCAGGGAAGCCAGTCTTAGTTGCTTGCCTGAAGAAAGTGTGGGAACTCACTGAGCTCAAAATGACACTGAAGGAGATGACTCCTACTTTGCTCCTGGGGCCTTGGCTCACTGCTGGTTGGAGCCAGAGAGTAGCTCCTAAAGCAGCCTCCTTTTCAGGGAATGGGAAACTGAGTCTTGATCCCAGAAGCCCCTTTAGTCCAGCTGAAGATGGGTATCTCTTCTGTTAACCACTCCATGTGGGAGCTGAGGAGCCCCTCTTTCATGCTCCATATTCACAGATACTTAACCCCCTGCCATGGACACTTGCTGGCCCACTCAGAGTCACTGGACACCCCAACCCCTCCCCCTAGTCACCATCGCAGCACCGTGCCCCTTCTTCCACCCTCCCCTCCCCTCCTCGCTCATTGCCAACAAGCTTCCCTTTCCCATTCAGGGGCAAGCCCAGTGCAGGGCTAGTACTGGTTTAATTATCAGGCTGAAAGGGCTCCTTGCTTCAGCATCTGGTTGGGATGTGACCAGGGATCCTGTGGAGTAAGAAAGCAACTGGCCTGGCTGGCCATGGGCTGGGCTGTCTGCCACACAAAAACTTGGACTGAAAGCAAGAAAGGGACAGGGCTACGATAATTCCTTGAGCAAGTGCTTCCCAGTCCCAGCAGGAGCTAAAACAGGTAGGGGCTGGCTCTCCCTTGCACCTCCTCAATGAGGCCCTTATAGGAGGGACAGCCGGTACCTGAGGTGGGGAACGTTCTCTGCTAGCCATTTCCAACTGGTAGCCATTGACTTCACAGAGCAGATGGAGAAGCTAACCCTCATGCATTTTACCTATTAACTGAGCATGCCTGACGTGGAACAATTTGAAGCACAATACCAGGCTTTTTCCATTGTCTTTGTTCAAAGGAGCACCACACGTCTGGCAAGCCAGAGGCATGGAAGTTCTGATGCTTGTATACATTAATTAAACAAGATATATTAGAGGGTGGCTCTACACCTTGCAAAAGTGAATCTCGGCACCGCCCTTCCCTGGAGATCTTGCATGTTGCCTTGACATGCTCTTTTTTCCTGCTTTTCAGTTTTCCACTGGCCCTTCTCACATACCCTGTTGTCTGGAATGCATATTTAAAGGAAATTGGTATGAGTCCTCAGGAAAAAAAATGGATTAAAGGAATGTGGAACAAGTGATGCAGCCTCAGTTGTAAAGACTCAAATGGTGGCCTTGAAAGAACAGTATAGCTAAAAGCAGGAATCATAAAAACTTACATCTGTGGGTTGTTTTTTTTGCCGCCATCATTAAAGAACATTATCCTCCACTAATTGGAAAAGTATGACATCATTTGCCTTTATAACATGTATCATTTCACTTGGAATATTCCTGTTACCAAGCTGCACTGTTCCTGAAATGCAACTCATTTTCCACTTCATACAGCACAGTTTATGTAACTGTCATTCACCTAAAGCTCTTTGAAGTTGCAGTTAAAGGAGATAATAGACTCAACCAAGCAGGAACCTGTATGTTACCAGAACATCTAACGAAGATTTCCCACCAGTGTGCACACAGCTTAGAGAGATACCTCTGCCCTTTTTGTTACAACTGCCCTTTTTGTTACAACTGCTATATAGAGGGAATTGTAATGCTATATTTTGAGGGATAATGTGTATATTGTGCTTTCAGTATAGTTTCATTAAGGATTTATTAATGACTAGGAAGATATATAGAGATACAGGAGATGACTATAGCTTAAATAGCTGGACAAATTCATCTTCCCTTACCAATTGTTATATATAGAATGAATAAAGGCCCATTTTCTGCTTATGCAGATAAATGACAGCATAGACTGCAAATCATGTTGGGCTTTTAAAACCCACTTTATGTTTTTGTCTTCTTTACAGTTTCTTTGCACTGTTCATATTCAAGTTACAGGTAAGGAAACAAAACCCTGTGCAGTCATCTGGAAATGTAAATAGTCATTATGGGACAAAACACAGAGCCTGTGACTTCACGAATGGTTTGTCAGAGAATGGATTGCAGGCCTGAACCTTTTGGGGTTTCATGTTAAATAGGAAAGAATATATTGTGAAAGCCAAAGTTAAAAATATCTGGGGGAAAATTACTTCTCAGCAAGAGTTGACAGCATTTAGCACTTTGCAAGAGGTTTTCAGCACCTTCAAACTGGGCCCTTTTGCTCTTAAGAGAAGCCATTAAACTAAAGTAATCACAGGCTCTCCTCCAAGTGTCTTTACATTCACTTCTAGCACACACACTCTTCTGAGTAGATATGGTCCTGTTTGTCTCTCTATTGCCTGATGATGTCCCTTACTTTAGACCAGGGGTGGGCAAAATACAGCCCACAGGCCAGGTCAGGCTAGCCAGATCATTTTATCTGGCCCATGCTGCCCCTTAAAAACTTAGAAAATTAATATTTATCTGCTCCTGGCTGCCTGTCAAAGATGACAGGAAACAGGGACACTAGGACCCAGGGGAAACCAGCAGGACTCAGGAGCAAAGTTGCCTGGATGGTGTGGTCAGCCCCCCCTTCCCCCATCTGACCCATGGTTGCCCCTGCAGTGCTCCACATGAGGCTGAGCCCTGCCCACTCCCACCCAGGGCACTGCACTCTGGCCCACCCCTGCCGACAACACCACACTGGCCCCAGCCCCAGCCCCGGCCCCGGCCCTAGCCAGCACGTACAGTGCTGCTGCTGTAGCCACCTAGCTAGTGCTCAGCTCCTCCTGCCTCCAGTGGCTTCTCCTACTCCTGCTTTTTGCCATCACACACCCAGCCAGGTGGGGGCAAAGCTGCAGCTGGGCAGCTCCTGTCTCAGCATACAGGGCTCCAGGTCCCAGCTGCCTTCCATCCACTCTTCCCCCCAGGCAGGGGCTGCCCAGCTTTCCCCCTCTCCCCCACCCCCGGCTTGGCATATGGTGGGCAGGAGGAGTAGCCACTTTAGGTGCAGGGAGCCAAGCAGTATCTGGCTGGGAAGCTGTGCGCACTGACTGGGGCTGGGGCAGTGCCATCAGTGGGTGCGGGGCAGGTGTGGGTGGGAGCATGGCGTGGGTTGCCTTGGGCAGTAGTGGATGGGGCTCATCCCCATACAGAGCACCTCAGGGGCAGCTGCAGGCTGGATACAATCAATTGGCTGCCGAATCCAGACTGCTAGCTGTATTTTGCCCACTCCTGATTTAAACAAAGGTTTGCTCTCAGTGGACTTTTTCAAGGCAAACTATTTCAGATTCACATCTATCTACACACCCATGCTGGACAGAGGGTTGCCAATCAGGCTGTGAGATTTTTTGCTGTAAAGGCTCCCAATCAGGCTAAATGTTCTTATTCATTCTAAGAGGTCTTGTGATTGAAGACTTTATGCTCCTTCCACTTGCTTTTCCCAGGAAAATGATCCTTGCTGAATGGGTGCTAGGTGGTTTGTATTCCTATCTTAGAGGTCAATCTTACAGTGTACACATTGCAGGCTGCACAATTGATATAGTACATGCATATTTATATTATATGCAATATATATAGCAATATTGATACAATATATGACAGAATTATAACAGTTTATATTCTGTACAATTTCTAAAGAAAATACTGCATGACAAAGGAAATCCTCCTGCTCTCCCCTTCCTATTCACAGATGGGTTGGAACAGACAGGAAGAGTGTTAGCATGTGAGATGTGGGATTCAGGGATAAGAAGGAAGGATTTTATGCTGCATGGTCTATTTTATTCAATTCTTTCTCCATTTGCTTCAGTAAACAGAGAGGTTGCTGGCAAAGGATTTGACATCGAATCAAATTAAGACCTTGCAGATACAGTCAGACTGCTAAATCAATAGCTTATATCTCTTCAAGTGAATGGACATGCAGTCTGAGTATCTACAGCCTGGGGAAGCACCAGCAGAAGTGCACCTATCCTCTTAACTCAGACACTCAATACACAGAAGCAGACAATGACATCTTACTCTGTTGAGAGTTCTTGAATCAATGAATATTCTGTATAAGCAGCATACCTTCTTCAGAATACATGCTCCTCATGTATGTGAAGCAGGCAATTTTTTGTGCTTAAATATCTAGCTCATTGTGGGTGCTAGCAGAAATAATAATAATAATAGGAAACCTTAAAGTGTAAGCAGCTTAGTATAAGACATGTGTCTCAATCTGTACAGAAGAAGCACTCTGTGAATAGTCTTTTCATAACTGAGTTGGTAACACGTGTGCTTCTATGTGTAACCCAGGTGTACCCAAGTACTGTGCTCCCCTCTCCAGATAGAAGGGATGGGTGGCAGGCAAGAGTGCTGCAAGAAGGATCTGCAATATATAGGCCGGATCCCTCTACTCTCTATAGAGGCAGGTCAGGACAAGAGATACTTAACTATGTCCAGATTGATTAATATATACAAGAATTAAGAGAATTGCTATTAATAAATATATATATATATATATACACACACACGGATGTATGGATATATATATGGATGCAAGATATATATATGCAAAATATGCAATATATACAACATGCAATATATTGTGGGTGCAATACCAACTAGAAAAGCTACACATTTATAACTTAGTGGGACCAGATGGACTCCATCCAAGAGTGCTGAAGGAGCTGGCTGAGGTCATTGCAAACCCCCTGGCAAAGCTCTTTCAGAATTCATGGCGCACAGGGGAAATCCCTAAGGACTGGAAGAGGGCCAACATTGTGCCCATCTTCAAGAAGGGGAAGAGGGAGGACCCAGGCAACTATAGGCCAATCAGTTTAACCTCTATCCCAGGGAAAATCCTGGAAAAGCTCATTAAAGAATCTATGTGCGATACGCTCGTGGAAGGTAAGATTCTGAATGACAGCCAGCATAGCTTTGTCACGGGTAGGTCTCATCTTACCAATCTCGTCTCCTTCTATGAGCAGGTCTCTCACCACCTGGACATGGGAGACAAGGTAGACGTTATATACCTAGACTTCCAAAAGGCTTTGGATCTAGTATCCCATGATATCCTTGTGGGAAAACTGGAAGATTGTGGGCTCAGCTTCTCGACAGTTCAGTAGGTGGGAAATTGGCTACAGGATAGGACCCAGAGAGTTCTCATGAATGGTTCTGTGTCGTCCTGGCGCGAAGTGGCCAGTGGTGTCCCTCAGGGGTCTGTGCTTGGACTGGTGCTTTTCAACATCTTTATCAATCATTTGGGTGGGGGAGTGAAAAGCTCAGTGGCCAAGTTCGCGGACAACACCAAGCTATGGGGCAGTGTGGTTACATCAGAAGATAGGTTGCAGATACAGGTGGACCTGGACAGGCTCAAGAGTTGGGCAGACTGGAACCAGATGAATTTTAACACTTACAAGTGTAAGATGCTCCATCTGGGGGTAAACAACCCTCAACATACATACAGGCTCAGTATATAATACTAATATACGAAGTTAAAATGTCCATGAAATATAAGGTGCAGTGTCACAGACTAGGAGGCTCTTTCCCACAAAATATAAGACACCTCAACAGCTGGTTAGCTCAAGCTTCCCTGGGGATAAATTGCTTGATTTGCACCATGGCCAAAAGGGACCTAGGGGTAATGATTGACCATCGCATGAATATGAGCTGTCAGTGTGAGGCGGTGGTCAGCAGGGCAAACAACACGCTGGCATGCATTAACCGATGCATCTTGTGTAAAACTAAGGAAGTGATACTCCCGCTGTACTCAGCACTGGTGAGACTGCAGTTGGAGTACTGCATCCAGTTCTGGGTGCCACACTTTAATAAGGATGTGGAAAAACTTGAGAGGGTCCAGAAAAGAGCCATCCATATGATCAGGGCATACGAGGAAAGGCTGAGGGACCTGGGCCTCTAGCCTAAAGAAGAGAAGGTTGAGAGGGGAATTGATAGCAGCTTACCGCTATATCTGAGGAGTGCATCAGGACCTCGATGAACAACAGTTCTCTAGGGCACCCGTGAGGAAGACCAGGACTAATGGATACAAACTCCTGGATGGCCACTTCAGGCTTAATACCAGGAAAAACTCCTTCGCAGTCAGGGTGCCCAGACTGTGGAATAAACTCCCTCCAGAGGTGGTGCAGTCATCTGCTGTGGTGGTTTTCAAGAGGAGACTGGACAGTCACCTCGCTGGGATCACTTGACCCTGGTTGTCTTCCTGCCTAGAGCTGGGGGGGCTGGACCTGATGATCTGCGAGGTCCCTTCCAGCCCCTATCTACCTATCTATCTATATACATACACATACACATAGATATACAGATATATAATTATCATATAATACTATGCCCTACATATAAAGGCTGAAAGATTACACCCCTCCAGGTAGCCCCAAACAATGTGTTGATGAACAGCGGATTTAGAATAGACAAACAACAGGAAAATGCAGGTGAGCATGTATAAATACAATTAAATAGCAGTCAAAGTGCAAGTATACATAGGGAGAATATATATAACCATCAAGGGTCCCAGCAGTGTCCCTTAAGGAGTTTAAACTTTAACACTCTATAAACTACTAATATTAATACTAATATACAAAGTTAAAATGTCCACGAAATATAAGGCGCAGTGTCACAGACTAGGAGGCACTTTCCCACAAAATATAAGACACCTCAACAACTGGTTAGCTCAAGCTTCCCTGGGGATAAATTGCCTCACAGCTGGGGTAGCTCCCCTCCCCTGTGGGAATCCCTTCCTCAACAACTCATGACGCCAGGGCCTGGATGGGTGGGTCTTGTCCCCTTGGCCAAGTTGCTCCTCACATGCATGGCCTCCCAGGCCACTGGCTCCCTTGGGCTGGCAGCCACAGGTGGCCCTGTGCACCGTCATGTGCACTGAGGGCTCTGCCTCCTGTTGGGGGTTGGAGGCCCAGGCCACCTCATGCGGTGCTGGGCTCAATCCGTCTCCTGGACCCTCTGTGCAGCATCGCCTGCACCAAGTTCCCTGGCCGCTTGCCAGGCATCGTAGACCTGAGCCACCTTAGGCTGCTCCCAGGGTCTTGACCTTCATGCACTGCTGCATGTACTGAGGTCCCAGCCGGTTGCCAGGGGTTGCAGACCTGAGTCACCTTGTGCAGCTCCCAGGGTCTGAGCTCTGTGCACAGAGCCGTGCGCCAACACCGTGTTCCCTGTGGTGGAGTTGGGGATGCAACCACTTGCCACTCCTGCTTGCGAAGAGGCATCTCAGAGTCTTCAGGGCACTGGTTCTGCCCTCTGGCCAGTTCACACCAGCTCTTCTTAGCCTGTCCTCTTCTCCGTCCCTCGACGGGTCTCCCTCGTGCTGGGCATGCAGCTCCTTTTATTCACTCCAGAGGCTCTGCCCCAGAGTGTTGTTGGACCTGTATCGGTAAGTTCGCCACATATGTAGTACTTATTTTGTTTCCAGTTGTATTGGCTAGGAGAATCTTTTACCTTCTAGTCTTTGAGGTTGAATGTCACATTATTAAAATAAGAAAAAGGGCTGTCACCACTTTCCACCTTCCATATTGAACTGCTCCTGCAATGAGTCAGAATCCTGCATCTGTGTCCCCACAATCTTGTCCAAAAGAGAAGACTACTGTAGCACAAAACTTAGTTTATGAGTCCACTGGAGAATTAAACCAGCTGAAATGCTGGCCTGGTAGGGAGATACCTCTGACTTAAAAGCAAATTCTGAGAAGGGTCATGGCCCAGAGCCAGTGACTAGTCAGACATCACATGAAAAATGATGTCAATGTTCTTTTTTCATCATGGCCTCACAATGAAAGTCTTTTAGAGAGAGGCTTGAGGATTCTATAGGGTACAATATGCAATCATATGTGCTCTCTGCTTGTTTTAATAATCTCTGCAAGTTTAACTCGTCTTTTAATTTTTATTTTCATTTTCCAGGATCCGAGAACTTGCAAAACCAAAGCCAAAAGTAGCTTGGGAGAACTACTGTAGGTAAGGCTGTATGGGAACTGGACTCAGTGGCTCAGGTGGCCCCTTCCAGATGTATGTTCCTATGCTTTTAAATTCTGGCTGGATGGTCAGCCCCAGACAAGGCGTGAGTTCTAGCGGCTGCCGTTGCAGCAGGCCTTTGCTCTGGGAACAAGTGTCTATTATAAGAGTGCCTGTATACATGTGGGATGCCAGCTCCACGCTTTCTAATAGAGTGCATCGGAACAGACTTGATTAATTGAGTCTGCTGGAGTATTCCATGTCCCCACATTTCAAAGTATCAGTGGAGGTGCTTTAACTAAAGCTTGTCAAATGAGCTTTAGTAAAAGTGTCCCCACCACCACTTTGAACCATTGGATGCTGAATACATGAGATGCTGCAGGCGTTTTAATTAGAGCAGCTCCTGAGAACCATTCTAATTAACCCCCCTCCCCCACATCCCAGAGCATGTGTATAGATGCCCATAATGTAAAGCAGTTGTAATAAGGATGTCCTGAGGTGCCTTACTCATTAATTCAGGACTCACAAAGCTGAGGGTTTTAATATTCACATTGCTTTGGGTCTGTTGTCTGTGTTTTGAGCCCTCCAAGGAAAGGAATTACATTTCACTCCAGAAACGCCCATGCCCACTACATTTCACTCCCATGGGACGCCCATGCCCGCTACAGGGCCGGGAAGTCCGGGTGAGGGTGATCCCCTGCCCTCCATTAATGCTGACTTTCTGAAGGAACATCTTGAGAAGCTGGATACCTTCAAGTCAGCCGGCCCTGACAATCTTCACCCCAGGGTACTCAAGGAGCTGGCGAGCATCATAGCCCAGCCTCTAGCACGGATCTTTGAAAACTCTTGGCGCTCTGGTGTAGTGCCCGAAGACTGGAAGAAGGCCAATGTGGTGCCTATCTTCAAGAAAGGGAGGAAAGTGGATCCGGCTAACTATAGGCCCATCAGCCTGACTTCTATCCCGGGGAAGATCTTAGAAAAGTTTATTAAAGAGGCCATCCTTAATGGACTGGCCAACGCCAACATCTTAAGGGATAGCCAGCACGGGTTTGTTGCGGGTAGGTCTTGCTTGACCAATCTCATTTCCTTCTACGACCAGGTGACCTATCACCTGGACAAGGGAGAAGAGATTGATGTCATATATCTTGACTTCAAAAAAGCCTTCGATCTGGTGTCCCATGATCGCCTCTGGGAGAAACTGGCCAATTGTCCCCTTGGGTCCTCCA